TTTGCCGATCTTCACAAAGACAACCTACTGGTTTCTGTCGACCTATATATTTTCACTTAGCTCTTAAATGATGTATCCTTAAGTAAATATTAAAGAGATAACATACCCAATACACAATAGAATATATATTGTGAAAGAGTAGTTTCTCATAAAAAGACTATAATTTAATTTCAAAACATAAAATATAGTCAAAAAAATTTGTCAAAAAAGAACAACCAAAATCTGCAGAGTTCACAAAAACCATCTGACAACTAATATCAATCTGATAACAGGTCCTTCTCCAACAGTCAGAGTCTAGAGTGCCAAGCCTAGATACTATCATATAGATCCTATATGCCCAATAGCAGGCAGATACTTGCAAATTCTTTCTAGTACAGGAAGCAGCTGTACTAAACTCTTACAGCTGCCAGTAAGCAGCAGGTCTCTAGGTGTGGATCCACCAAATCCAGCTCCTCTCCCCAGCAGCAACTAGTTGTTCCTTTTTACTCCTCTATTGAACAAATCTGCATTGGTTCTCTGATATGAATAGTGTAATAATTCGAATCAAATAGTCACAAATCACATGCATGCAATCCGCTCAAGCACAGCATGCAGTGTTCTTTAGCCTCTTCTAAGCGTAACGCTCGATATCCTATCTTTCCGCCCTCACTCCAATGCTCTCATGACCAGTGTCAAGAAGCACTTCGAAGTAGTGTCGAATCCACTATAAAAGTATTACATCCAATTCAACTATCTATTATACGTTATCCAGAAAAGTGAAGCGATCTCACTAATTGTTTTTGTTTTGCTTTGATGAATGGAGACTGTACTTTCCGTTTTCCTCCTAGCATTCTTAGAAAGATGTGCACGTCGCACTTGTTAGGGTTGGTTTCGTTTTTTTCTCCTCTATTCTACGGAATTGACCTCAAACACAGGACTAGAAGGGACGTTTCGATTTAGTAGGGTTAACTTGGATGAGTAAATAATTTATATTCAAATTATAATGGACTATTTGATACATTGTGGTACAACACTGAGAGATCTTAATATTTATTTTGCTTTCTAAATATAATCACCCCAGATACTGATACTCAGTTTCCTCTAAACTTGCCTACTATGGTATAGCGTTATGGATTTTGTAATAGGCTGTTTGTGCTGTATATTAATGATTACTGTGTTATTTCAATAAGTGCAATTACAATGTCTTTTATTTTTGTATTTTTTTTTCTTGTATTATTATATATATAGGTTGTTTGTCAATTATAATTTTATAGTGATATATTGTCAAGTATGTTTGTACAAGCTAACACCCTTGGTACATTTGTTGTGCGTTGAAACAAAGTGAATCTAGCTAAATAAATCAGCAGGGAGAATAAGAAAAAAGAATCTGCACATTGGCAGTGCTTCAAATCATGTGTGCATCGTGCTTGACGCGCATGTGTAAAAAAATACTCAACTTGTTGAGGCACTTTTGCATGATGATATAAGCACATGGACCTTGGATTTAGTCCTCTTTTCCCCTCCTTGAATGACTTTTACGAAGTTGAAGCATTATTTTCTAATCAGGGTCAAAGCGTAGGAACATTCTAAATTTCTAGCCAGTTGATTTACTTGTTAATTTCACTCACCACAGTTTATCTATGCTTCTTGTTCAGTTTCACGAGTTTTGTTGCAGGGTGTATCAGTATTCTCTTCTTGTTAGTTGGTCCTATATTCTTTATTTGGTTATAGCTTTTCTGAACTCCATTTTTGTGAGATTGAAAAGGTCCTCCAGTTTTCTTGATCTGGTAGTACTCTCGCTTTCCCAAACTTTTAGTTGTCATTTGTAACATTCACGCAACAATAGATTTTTCGTTTGTGCTTTGTTGATGTAAGGTTCTTAAGCTAGAATCGGTTCCCTATGATTGTATCGGTCTATTGAAGGGTGAAAGATTCTTTTTCGACTACTCTTTTTGGACTTCTATAGAGCTATGATAAAGCCAATAGCAACGCTTCTCTTCTTCTTCTCTCTCTCTCTCTCTCTGCACATCAGTGTGTGTTGGCTTTGTTGACAGATACAGAGGGCGGGTGAATTAAGTTGTGCTGATAGAGGGAAATATGCTTTTTTTGTTGATCTGTCAGAGAAGGTTATTGAATGAAACCCTTTCACATTGGTTCCTTTTACTTGCTCAGGCTTAGTTCTGGCATATCAATCTTTCTCCAGGACTATCAGGATTATATGGGTTTTCCATTTTGTTACAGATCTCCGAACCGTCTTTAGGTGCAGAGATTTGGAAGCCTGATTTATTTGCCATTAGAAAGTATGTTGATTTTGTTGTAGTATGACCTGTATCGCATAAATATGAATAGACAAGGATATGACTGTTTGTTTGCCTTATTGACATAATTGATGTTGATACAATAATTTTATCCTGGAATTTATCATGTCTCGGCTTTAGTTAAATTAGGAAGTTTTGCAGTGCTTCATATTGATTCTTTCCTTGCTCTGAGATTGAAGTAACAATACAGTTTTTTTCTACTTCTTGATGGTCTTGACCTGTGTCTGTATTGATATCACCAGTCTACTGGTTTGCGGTGTTTTGTTACCTGGATCTGGACAGAACTGCCAAGAGAAAAACCTGCTTCTTCCGAGTGTATAACCGCTTTCTCTGTAATTGGACTTCTTGAACATCCATTGGCTTCATTATCTTCTTTGTGATATCATTATGACAGTTAATGTGTTAGGTTTTAGTGGTGTGAATCCACTTTAATACAGAACTGTAAACTATTTTCACAATTGCAAATTCGATGCATAGAAAGTATATTCAATCTTGTACTGTTATACTATGACATGTTTTTATTGAGTCATTATACTCGGTCAATTTCCTTTTTGTTTGAATTTTTCATACGCTAACGGTTGTCTCCAGTGCAGGAGGCTTCCCTCGTATCCTGCGATGTTTATATTCACGGGACATTGCTCTCCAGACTACTGACACGGAACCTCTGCCTCGTACACCACTGCATACGGAATCTCATCTTCTGGAATTTACAGACTATCACCGCATCTTTTTTCTGATAGTATGGTGCTTGCAACTTTCCATCAGATATTATTGTGGTTTGAGAGGCAACGATACTAAGTGTGAACATGAAACAAAGTTGATCTTGCCCATATTGGTGCTTCGTTTGCTCCATCTTTATACAAAGCAGTTTTTCTTCAGGTTAATGACCTTTGCCGTTGGCCTTTGAAGACCTACTTCCAGTTATCAGCTGTAACTCTGTGTATATATTCATATAGTCAAGAAATTCTTTTAATGGGTTTGAAAATATTTAGCCTGCAAAGTACTGCAGAATAGAATACTTGATCATTGAGTTACTTAATTTAATGATAAATTCTATATATTTTTAACCTTTCTTATTGCTTGAACGAAAATAATCTTTTTTCTATCATTTTTTATTTTCGTAATAGATTTTTTTCTTAGGATTTAGGCTTTAAATTCTTTTACTTGAAATGGGATGTTTCTGCTTTGTTCAGGTTCTTGCTAGTGTTTCAGCAAAATACTGTGAGAAATCATTTTTCTGTTGTCCTTTCACTTACAAGAAACCACTAGAAATTCTAGTGTTCAGACAAATACTTGAGAAATCATTTTCTGTTGTCTTTCACTTACAGAAACCACTAGAAATTTTAAGTACAAGAAACCGGAAGTATGCATAAAGGAAATTAGATTAATGCTGCTTCAATTGGTCGCTTCCCTTGCTGATAGTATTCAGTATAAAAACTAGCATAGCCTTTCACTGTCTTGTATAATCTTGGCCTTGTTTCATCGATTAGCCCATCAGCTATACTAATCCTCTCCCTTTCTCTGTTGGTCACCACCCTGTGTATAGGGCTCTTGAATATTCCATTGCTCATTATCTACGCAAATAATCCAATATTACTATTCTTGGAATATCCAAGACTTGAAACGCAAAATCTGCATAACTTGATCTTGAAAACTCTGGACTCCAATAGACGTACATATATATAATCAATTCAATAAAAATATTAATGACGTCTAGTTATATTTTAACAGGGTTTTCATCAACTGCAATTCAAGTAACAATAGCAAATAGGTCATATTTCTCAGCAACAGCTCAAACAAAAATACCAAAAAAAATTTTAGTATTTACCTCAGCTTGATCGCCAACATTAACAAGAAGAGCTTCTGGAATGATAGGAACCCTAAACCATTGATTGTCTTTCAAGAACTGAAGACCTTCCACCTCTTTGTCTTGCAAGAGAATGGTGAGAACTGATCCATCAGTATGTGGTCTTAGCCCAAGGGTTTTACCAGGCATTGGACATGGAGGATAATAGTTAAATTGTGCAGTAACGATTGGTCGTTCTCCATGTTGATCCAAAAAGCAATTGTCATCCAATCCTAATGACCTTGCCATTTCTTTAAGCAAAATTTCTTGTATTCGCTGCGACTTCTTGGCAAATTCATCTAGCATTTCCCTGCAGATTGTTCTTTTACATTTAGCCATGGCTGTCAAATTTTGCAGAGTTAATGATTAACTAAAAGTTTGAAGGGATAGGGTGACTCAGTGCATAAAGCATCTCAAACTTGAGGAAGATTGGTAGAATTTGAAAAGGGGATAGGTGACCTCAGTGCATAAAAGCATCTCAAGACTTTGAGGAAGATTGGTAGAATAGGGTGATCCAGTAACAAAAACATTCCCATAAGGCATTTCTCATGGCTGCAATCCAGCCCTCCAGGTCCTGAAATGGAGGCAACTTTTAAAGCTACCCGTTACAGTTTTGAAAAGATAATTACCTAAAAGTTTCGAGGAAATTTTCCAGGGCCAAAACCTGAGCTTGTCGCCGGTCATTCTGGTTTACCGTAAGATATAAACGATCAATCCAATCGAGTGATTCCGATGGTCTAAATGAAAGCAGTATCATTCTCATCACCCGTGTGCACCGCTGCTAGTTTCTCTGGAAAGTATTGTCTGGCTTATCTTCCATGTGGTTAGTGAGAAAAAACTGGCGGTTGTGGCAACTTGACGCATTTCTGCAAGAATGAAATTTGATCATTCCATGATTTATTACTTGGCAACGTTTTTCAAGGTAATTGTAGTTTATTTATTTCATATATACAATAGGCAATCTTATTTGCAGTGGAAACCTGGGGCGGAGTAGAATTTAGAAGTAAAAGAGAAAGATTCGGTCCAAATAACGAATGGAAGGCTAAAGAATGATTGATGAAACCTGGGGCGGAGCTAGAATTTAGAAGTAAAAGAAAGATCGTCCAAATACGAATGGAGCAAGATGATTGAAAGGTTATTAAAAAATACTTATGCAAGGTTCGAACTTTAGCATGTTATAGGAAACAAATTAATCCATATGCAGCTGTCTACTAATAAAATCACAATCAACACTTAATAATAGTAGAAGACCTGAAAACAACCCCAGGAGCTAAGAGCTGATCTGAGTTTGTGAAGCTCCTCTGTTTTGGTTAATGGAGATTGGAGAAGACCAACATCAATAATAGGAACCTCTATCAACGGAACGGAAGTACTTAAATTTCCACTGTCACTTCCTTTTTGGATGTACTTTTCCAGCGGCTCTTTGCCGTCGATGGCCAGTTCTTGGACGGACTTTGACATGGAATCGATGTTGTCAGCTGCCATGATCCCGATCAAGAAATTCAAGATACTTTTGTTTGTCTTTTCTTTTTATTTGTGCGGTCTGTGGAAAATGGGAACATTGAAAAGCAGGAAACTTACCTTATCTGAATCTTGATACCTTAATTAATTGTTTATACCAGAAGCTTTCGTGTAAATAACTGTTTAATTAATTGTTTAATGATTATAAAAAGTAATAATAATTAAAGACTAGAGATAAAGTTTTGGACAAAACTGGTTTAAAGTTGTCAAATAAGACGTTAAATATTAATTGTTGTCCGTCAAATTATGAATACAACGGGAAGACTGTATCATAAAACCTTAATCCGCTACTTAAAAACTTTACTTTTTGAAATATTCTCAATATAAAATATAAAAATTATTTATTTAGAGCTAAATGAAATCTATTAAATTTTGCATCTAACTTTTTCTTATAATCCAAATTAATTTTTATTCTTTCTTTTCCGGCTAAAAAGCTCAGGAAATTGAAATCAATCTGATTCTTCTAATTTAATTTCTGATTCAAAATCAAAACATTTAGGTAGTTCTGATTCCATTAAAAATCAAACCCATTCCAATCCGATTTCAATTCACATCTGGTTTACTAATTGTGGATTAATAAGAGGTTAAATAAGCCAAAAAAAAAAAAAAAAAAAAACCACTCTGGTTTAGACTGAAATCTGCTTGGATTAATAAGGATGTTGTTTCTAAACTATAGGCCAAAGAGAGAAAGTAAGGAATTATATTATATATAAGAGGAAAATAATATTATTTTCCGCTCGCGCTTTACACCGATGTATAGTAAAGAACATGAACATGCATTTACTATTACGACGGTTAACCTTTTTCTATGGCGACGTCGTTCACATTTCAGCATGCTTGTGACATGAACTAGACAAAACGCAAGAGACATTTTTTTATTTCTGCAAAACAGACAAATTTTATTCTTTTATATATCTCCAAAACCAGACAAAACCGAGAGAGTTATTGTAGCGAAAGTATAAAGCCGAAAAGAGTAGCTATATTAAGATGGAAATTGCATTATATCATGCCCGCTTGTCAATGCTCGCCTTCTCTTCCGCTTGCAGGTAGTATTCAGAGGTAGTATTCAGAGAAAAGACCAACATACCCTTTCACTGTTTTATATAATCTTGGCCTGGTTTCATCGATTAGCCCATCAGCTGGTTTGATCTCTTTCTCTGAATCAGAATATAGCTATACTAATCCTCTCCCTTTCTGTGTTCGTCACCACCCTGTGTACTCCGCTCTTGAATATTCCATTGCTCATTATCTACACATATAATATATATTATACATAAATTTTAGTAACTTCTAATTAATATTTTAAACAGAATGTATTTCTCAACAGATATTCAAGGAACAATATCAAATAGATCTATAGCATATTTCTCAGCAGTAGATTGAACAAAAATAACAAATATATTTTAGCATTTACCTCAGCTTGATCGCCAGCATTAACAAAAAGAGCATCAGGAATGATAGGAACCCTAAACCATTGATTGGATAGGAAACCCTAAACCAATTGATTGTCTTTCAAAAACTGAAAGACCTTCGCACTTCTTTGTCTTGCAAGAGAATGGTTGAGTTAACTCGAGATGTACGCCACTCAGGCGTGAGGTGTTGGTCTTAAAGCGCGGGATTCTCTCTCTTAGAGAGAATCATTTTCATAGAATTGAGCGATTCTTGAGCGATAATAAGTGGTTATGATATGGTGGTGCCAGTGACGAGTGGTGGCTCTGGAGTGAGTTGTATTTGCCCATTGGACATGGAGGATAATAGTTAAATTTTCCAGTGACGAGTGGTCGTTCTCCATATTGATCCAAAAAGCAATTCTCATCCAACCCTAATGACCTTGCCATTTCTTTAAGCAGAATTTCATTTAGCTGCTGTGAATTCCTGGCAAATTCATCTAGCATTTCCCTGCAGAATTTTTGTTTTTGAATTTAGCCATGACAGTCAATTTTTGCAGAGTTAAAAGTTTGAAAACATAGGGTGACCCGATGCACGAAGCGTCCTACATTTGTGGGTTGTGGAAAGGGTTGATGCATGCAGCCTTCTTCTACTTTTGTTGAAAGGCTGTTTTCATGGCTTATATTAAAGCTATCCTCTCAAAGTTTTGAAAGATAATTACCTAAAAGCTGGAGGATTTTCCGGCCAAAATCTGAGCTGTCGCTGGTCTTCTGGGCTTAGTGTAAGATATAAACGATCAGTCCAATCAAGTGTTTTCTGTTCTGAAGGAGCCATATCATTTCCATATCCTTCATGGCTGCCAGTTTCTCTGTAGTATTTCTGCTTCTCTTCCACCGGTAGCGAGAAAAATTGCTTGGCAACTTGACTCATTTTCTCCAAGAATGAACTTGTCATTCCATGATTTATTACCTGCAAAAGTACAAGTAATTATATATTTATTCATGCATGGATGAAATACAATCTAATATATAGTGAATCTGCTCAAATTAAGATAATCCATATTTAATAACACGAAAAATAATAATAACAGAAAACCTGAAGGAAACCCCAAGAGCTAAGAGCTGATCTGAGTTTGTGAAGCTCCTCTGTTCTGGTTAATGGAGATTGGAGAAGACCAATATGAGCTGATCTGAGTTTGTGAAGCTCCTCTGTTCTGGTTAATGGAGATTGGAGAAGACCAATATCAATAATAGGAACCTCTATCATCGGAACAGAAGCATTTAAGTTTCCATTATCACTTCCTTTTTGGATGTATTTTTCCAGTGGCATTTTACTGCTGATGGCCAGTTCTTGGGTGGATTTAAACATTGACTCAATCTCTGCTGCCATGTCGACCTGTTAGCACTTAGCAGTGTACTGGGGTTGTTACACAAACAGAATTTAAGTTGATCTGATCAAGATATTCAGTACCAATTCAAAGTTGCATAATATAAAGGAGAAAGAAGGAAGAAGGCAAGTGTTTTGTGAAGCAAGAAGCCCTCTCGTTTGGTGTAGTTTATATAGTAGTAGGAGTATTGCAATTATTGGAAGTAATGGAAAATGAACAAAGAAATCAAATATGCGTGACTACTTTGTTGTTAGCTATGTTTGCTAGGTGGAGAGTTTGTATCACAGTAACAAAGTTGCAGTAATGAATTAAGTCAAATATGTACAACTATGTTGTCTGCTAGCTAAATATGTTTGCTAGTTGGAGACTGAATATTTCCAATATTATAGAATTTATTATTATTATTATTCATTTTGTTGCCAATATTATAGAATTTATTATTATTATTATTCATTTTGTTGATATGGATATGGGTTATGTCGATTATGAAGGCTACGTAGCGGTGGTTTCAATCATGATAATGCTAAGGTTTTAAAATTTTGATGATTTGTAATTTTTAGATTGTCCTCTAAGAGAATAAATGATTCTTCTAACTAATTAATAAAATTGAAAAAGACTTACGTGCATCAAGTATATGAATTCACCCAGATTGATCGATGGAGGATTTTTTTTTTTTTAAAATATTATTGTTTTATTACTGTTTTTTTTATGAGATAAATCACTCTTATTTGAATCAAAAATCTATTTTTAATTGATTTAGTATATAGTTGAATCCATACACCTAACGTAGGTAAATCCTTTCCTTTAAAATTATTATGCAAAAAATAATTGATATTACACGTGGAGTGGCCTACCTAGGATATGATATTAAATTTTGATTTAAATTTAGAATATATAAATATTTTTGAGTAATATTGTTGGAGATAGCATTGTGGTGACTGCGGTTACCATATAAACGCATCGGTTCGTACTAAAACCAATTCGGTTAAACCGAATGCTTACCCCTAACCAGGAGAACCCAACAATAGCTATATGTGCCGCTATCCGCCATTCTTCTAATTCCAGCGTTTGATCAAAGCCTTAATCACCTCTTCTTATGACGTTGAACTGATTTTTCTGTGGGTTTAACTTTTATGAGGTTAGTTTCTCACTAATTATGCTTTGATTGAATTTTGTTCATAAGTGAATTAGGAAACCTAGCTATATGATGATTTACAGAACAAGCAGTTCAATATTGATTACAATTTAAGTGAATTAGGAAACCTAGCTATATGATGATTTACAGAACAAGCAGTTCAATATTGATTACAATTTCTATTGTTACAAAGAACTTGGAAAATAATTTAATAAGAAGAAAAACATTCAGTATGATTTCAAGCATATAATTATGAAATCAATCTAATTTGATTCATAAATTGGACCTTAACTCTGAATTGTGTTTTTGGGTCGGAGATTGTCACGAACCCTTACTTAAAAGAAGTTAGCTGTAAGAAGTTAGCTGTAGATAAAAATGGTGTTTTATAATTCTTTCTTGTTCAGTTTTCAAAGTTGGTCCAGAGGGTCATCACTTTTCATTTTTGTAGGTGCCATTTATTTGATTAGCTTTTCTGGAACTCCATTTTGTTGAAGAGAGGAGCTCCATTTTTGTCTGGAGTACAGGTTCTTGTTCATTTTTTTATTTCTAACACAATTCTTTACTCAAGGATCTGTAATCATGTTCTGTTTTGTTTCGGTTCTTGTTAGTGTTCTGACAAATACTAGAGAAATCAGTTTCTGTTGTCTTTGACTCATAGAAACCCGAAGAAATTGAGAGTACCAGAAACCAAAAGTAAATATATAAAGAAAATTAGATTATTGCTGCTTCAATTGTTCTCTTCCCTTGCTGGTAGTATTCAAAGTAAAAACTAACATAATCCTTCACTGTCTTGTATAATCTTGGTCTTGTTTCATCGATTAGCCCATCGGCTGGATCGGCTGGTTTAATTCTCTTTTTCTGAATCAGGGTGCAGGAATACAAAGCTACACTCATTGTCCTCTCTCTTCTGTGTGGTCCACCACCCTGTGTACAGGGCTCTTAAGTATTCCATTTGCTCATATCTACACCAAATATTCCCAATATTACTTTATTGGAATTTTCAAGACTTGAAAGAACTATCAATCTGCATAACTTGAATCTTGAAAATTCTAAACTCCAAGATCATACATACATTATGTATTAAAATCGATTCAGAGAACAAATCTTAATGACTTCTGATTAATATATTCTAACAGGAATGTTTTGTCAATGGCCAAATCAAGCAACATGTATCAAATAGATTCAAGAATATTTTTCAGCAGTTAGGTTCAAACCAAAAATATCAAATAAATTTTAGTATTTACCTCAGGTTAGTATTTACCTCAGCTTGATCGCCAACATTAACAAGAAGAGCTTCTGGAATGATGGGAACTCTGAACCATTGATTGTCTTTCAAGAACTGAAGACCTTCCACTTCTTTATCTTGCAAGAGAATGGTGAGTGCTGATCCATCAGCATGTGGTTTTAGCCCAAGAATTTTATCAGGCATTGGACATGGAGGATAGTAATTAAATCTTGCAGTAACGAGTGGTCGTTCTCCGTATTGATCCAAAAAGCAATTCTCATCCAACCCTAATGACCCTGCCATTTCTTTAATCAGAATTTCATTTATCTGCTGTGATTTCTTGGCAAATTCATCAAGCATTTCCCTGCACATCTCAATTTTTGCAGAGTTAATAATTAATTAAAGTTTGAAAGCTGTTTTCATGGCTTATATTAAAGCTATCCTCTCAAAGTTTTGAAAGATAATTACCTAAAAGCTGGAGGATTTTCCGGCCAAAATCTGAGCTGTCGCTGGTCTTCTGGGCTTAGTGTAAGATATAAACGATCAGTCCAATCAAGTGTTTTCTGTTCTGAAGGAGCCATATCATTTCCATATCCTTCATGGCTGCCAGTTTCTCTGTAGTATTTCTGCTTCTCTTCCACCGGTAGCGAGAAAAATTGCTTGGCAACTTGACTCATTTTCTCCAAGAATGAACTTGTCATTCCATGATTTATTACCTGCAAAAGTACAAGTAATTATATATTTATTCATGCATGGATGAAATACAATCTAATATATAGTGAATCTGCTCAAATTAAGATAATCCATATTTAATAACACGAAAAATAATAATAACAGAAAACCTGAAGGAAACCCCAAGAGCTAAGAGCTGATCTGAGTTTGTGAAGCTCCTCTGTTCTGGTTAATGGAGATTGGAGAAGACCAATATAAGAGGTAAGAGCTGATCTGAGTTTGTGAAGCTCCTCTGTTCTGGCTAATGGAGAATTCAGAAGACCAATATCAACAATAGGAACCTCTATCAACGGAACAGAAGTATTCAACTTTCCACTGTCAGTTCCTTTTTGGATGTACTTTTCCAGCGATTCTTTGCCGTCGATGGCCAATTTTTGGACGGATTTTGACATTGATTCAATCTCGGCTGCCATGGCGACCTGTTACCACTTAGCAGTCTGATGGGTTTTTACTTTTTAGAAAGATTGAATTCGACCTGTTACCACTTAGCAGTCTGATGGGTTTTTACTTTTTAGAAAGATTGAATTCCAGTTAGCTGATCCAGATTTTCTATTTTTTTAATATTTAATATTCAATTCAAAGTTGCAGAAAAACGGAGTTCATTATTATATGTTTTTGTGCTCTGCTCAAGGATAGCAATGTACTGTGCCCTGCATAGGCTTTAGCGCCATCGGCCGTGGGATCCATAGGCCAAGTAGGAGAGCACACCCTTGGAGATAGTAACAAATTGTGGCTAACAACAGGAATGACCACAGTTGGATTTTAATCAGAACCGATATTAAATTATAGTCTACGGTTTACTTTGAAATCGTAACTGAAATAATGTATTTAAAGTTCAGCTTCGGTTTTTTTATTTTTTAAAGTCAAAATCAACAGTTGTAATTTAAAATCAAATATTTCGATTTTAAATCATAAAAAATTTGTTCTTAAAAAAACTCAAAAAAACTCGCAATATATTTTTTTGTCTTATTATAACTTTTAAAGTAATTTTTAAGAATTTTTATTAAATTGAGTTAGTATTTTTCAATAATAATATTTATTATCATTATTTATTCAACATGTAAATCTAAAAAAGCATTTTAAAAATTTGAAAATATATTATTTAATTTCGGGTTGAAATTGACATAAAATCGAAAGCAATAGTTTCAAAACCGTGTAAAAATAGTTCAATTTTAATTTCACTTTTTTTATAATCGAAACCAGCAATTTTAAAATTCAAACGGCAGTTTTGAAACGTGGTTATGCTTAGCTAAAAAGTTCTATTAGTGGCGTTGATCTTACAATTACATGTCCTAATGAAGAAGCATAAATACAAATTAGTATAATTATTCCAAATTCAGTCTAAATGCGTCCCCTAACCCATAACGCCGACCGCCATGTCAGAGATCCGCCTAAGGTGGTTGGACTTCAGGTGGCAAGTGGCAAATATTGGGCAGTGGAAATTTTAGGATAGGGCTCCAATTCTGGGCCTATCTATATATAATGAAATTAATCTTTATGGGCCTTATTATGGTTCTCTTATTTTATTGGGCTCTTAAGCAACTATTTTGTCTTGTTTTTTTTAGAAAATTCTCATATTAGGTATTCGTTGTCAGAAATTTTTGAACATGATTACTGTATCGTATTTGAATTAAAATTCAAAACTTAATATTTTGTAGGTTTGTGCTCTTGAAAAGGAAATATTTACATAAGCTATTAAAAAGTATTTTGATCATTATTTTTATTGAGTTTGAAATTGATTTGGCATTAGAAATTAATATTAATGAATTAGTTAAAAGAAAAGAATTACCTAAAAAATTACCTAAAAAAAAAAAAGCACTCTCAACTTTAGATATTGTTTTTAGTGTTTAATTAACAAAAGGGAATGAATACTAATTATTTTAGTAGCTGTTAAGTGAAATACATGAGTGATTAGTAGTTTGTTGTTTATATAGAACTTGTTTGATAGTTATCTTAGAATCTGTTTGACAAAATTAACTGTTTTTTAAAAGCTGTAGATTGTCCTAATAGCTATTAGATATCCTAGTGGTTTTCAATTGTTTTATTAGCATTTCATCAAACATTAAAAGGAATAACGTTTTATAATTTTCTCCTTCAAACTCTAAGTATTAATAGAAATGATATGTCACTAAACACTATAAATAATAGAAATAGTATTTTAACCTTAAACAAAATGTTAAAGATTACATAAGAAGTTGTTGCTGAACACGGTCTTTGATAGCTAGTACCATCTTAGTAGGTATGAGATATTTTTCTGGCGTTTCATCAAATATTAAATGGAATAATATTTCATAATATGCTTCCTCAAACTCTAAACAATAGTGCACACGTTATGCTATCAAACATTATACATAATAGAGATAATATTTTGAAATACTAAAAACTGTTGCCTATGCTATCAAACATTATACATAATAGAGATAATATTTTGAAATAATAGAGATAATATTTTGAAATACTAAAAATTGTCGCCTAATAGGACCATAGTGGTTTAAAGCATAAGTATTCAGTAAAAATAATTGTTTGATTAGCCATTAAATTTAAATATAATTAAAAAAGTTCAATTAATTATTGTTTAACACTAAATATTTGGGGAATAGCATCTCTTGAAATACTCCCTCAATCTCTAAACCTTATTATAATATAATTAATAAAGGTAATGTTTTAGACCGTATTCAGCAATAACTTTCTAAGTAACTTTTAGCGTTTTGACTAAACGCGACTAAACGCTACTTAAAAAATTATTCGGTAACATAGCGTTTGGACTAGCCTTTTGAAATTATGGTAAAATTTTGTGAAAAGTTAAACTATGTAACGTTTAGTTTTTAGCATTTCATGAAAATCTATTAAAACAGCTAACAACTAAACGTTATTAAAACAACTAACAACTATTAAAACAATTATTTTTACTAACATACCCTTAGCCTTATTAAAATGCTCTACCCTCAAAAGCAGTTGCCCAATAAGGTAAAAGTTTTATACTTTCTTTTAGTTGTACTTTAGTCTGTTTTTTGAATAAAATTTATGAAATTATAAAGGACCAATCAGATAACAAGTAGTTGCTTAGTTAATTTTTTTAAAAAATTGCTTAGTTAAGTTTTTTTTAAAATAATATAATTATTGAAAATTTTAAAAATAACATAATTGAAAAATAACTATATTAAGTTGAGAAAACTTTATATGATAAAATTATATTAAATAAAGGAGAACATATGGAGATGACTAACTGTAACATATTTTTATTATAGTAATATTGTATATAGTATATTTAGCAGGATGGTAAATGAAAAACAATTAATTTTTAAATAAAATATTATGCAATAGAGAGTGGAAAAAAAAATAATAAAAGGAATTATGAGATTTGATTTAGTAATATGGGCAGTGATTTGAAATAAATATAAATCTGAATTGAGAGTGGTTAAAAAATAAAAATCTACAAAAATTTAAACATTTCAATCATCTTCAAATTATGATATCGAAATATTATTCTGATAAAGCATTTATATTAGTTTTCCTCTTAACGCGTTAATTGTTATTACTACCTCTATTTCATAATACTTGTCACATGTTGAATTACGTTCTTTAGGAATTACCATTAAATTTGTTCTAAGTTATAGGAATACCATTAAATTTGTCTAAGTTATAATAAATTATTGAGTAAATCGACTACATTACCCTTAGTTTAATACCAATTCTTTAAAAAATTATTAAATTGAAGTACTAATTATTGGTTCTATACAAATGGTAAATACGGAAAAAATTGAAATTATTACTCTTTAAATAAGTATTTTAAAACAAACTATTTTCTCAAATGTACAAATATCATAGAACATGAGGGATATTAATTATGGTGAGCCACACTCAAAACAAATTTTGCGTGACGACATTTTTCCACAATTATGGTGGAAGGAAGACTAGAAAGACTTCCTTGGCATAGAAAATTGTACTTTGATTATGACTATAACGTGTATTAATAGAACAACCAAATAAAACGGTAACTCCATGTCACGACCCATTTCCGTGGGCCGGACCGGCACTAGGACCTGGGTGGGCTTAAAGCTCCCGAAGCCCGTAGTAAGCCTAACTTTTTCCAATTCGACATTCTACTCATAATTATGGATTCAGGCCTATTAACTTATTATATATGCATCCAAAATACAGTTCAAAGATTTAAAATGGACTTTCATTATTTATTTACAACCCAACTGGAATACAACTGCGGAACTCTACCTTTACATTTACATCATTATTTCAATTATTAATAGCTTCTATAATTAGTGTTTCAACTCCACAGGGCATTTCTTTCTTCTATTACCTTAAAAAAAAAAAAAAAAGGTAGGCGGGGTGAGCGCCAAACTCCAATGAGTAGGGTAGATAACCCTCTCACCCCACACAATCACATATATGCAAAAGTATTTTTATCTGATCGCCGATATATATATGATCATGCAGTGTGTTCACCAAATGGCAGTTACCACAACACTTCACAGTATGTATCACCTTCATATAATTCATTATCACGTGGAAATTAGTCAGTGGAGTCAACCTAAACCCGATGAGCCGGTCCTCCCACATGGCTTCATCCACTCACAGTGTGCCACCAGGGACCAATCCCCCATCTGGCTAACCGGTACTAAGCTCGCATGCCGGTCCACTAATTATTTTTCGAAATTCTCTATATATAATTATATATATGATATAGTATATATATATATATAGTTATATATATATATATATAATATATAAAATGCCAACAGGAGGCAACCCGGTGATCTCTCCATCAATCTGGATCATCAAGTGCTCACAAACAGGAGGCCACCCTACGGGCTTCCAATCAAATCTAGATTATCAGGTGCCAACAACAAGAAGCCATTCTGTGGTTTTCGGTAACGGTAACGGTAGGTGCACACGGGGGCGCCGATCTCTCATTTACCCGGTTAATCAGGATCCATATAACGGTAACGGTCTCACAAACCCATGGTGACCCACTTCATCCCAATTCCACACAAACAAGGCACAACAATGTCACATCACAAGTAATCAAGCAATATTTAATAGCAACAAATAGTGCATCACAATATGGCAATAATGCATGATAACATTTAGCCGTGAATTCATGAATGCAGGAGGATGAGGCGAATTATCTAACACTACTCACCATCACAATATGACAATAATGCATGATAACATTTATCCATGAATGCAGGCGGATAATACTAGTTATCTAACAACTACTCACAGTTTTTATTGTCCTTTATAGGACTCTCTCTACTACTGCACGCTTCCAGCTTTTGTTTTGGTCTTTATATTCTAGAACCTTATACGCATCTAAAAATAATAAGAAAGTCTAAATAAGGAATCTAATTCGAAACAAAAATATTTTCACATTCCCATTTATGTAGTTTTTGGTGTACGTAGTACTTAACTGACTGTCAAAACTTACACTGTGTACATATAATATATATATATATATATAATATATAGTATATATATATATATATATATATAATAATATATATATATATATATATATATCTGAGTCTAATTTCTTTTGAGGTCTATCCAGATATGACTGTCTCATTAAATGATTTAAATATTTTAGAAAGTATAGTTTTAGAAATTA